TGGGTGTTACAGGGGCCAAGAGAGGTGGAGGTTGTAAAAAAGTTGATGGATAGGGGTGGGGGTATATGTCTACAGAAGAGCTAGGTGGGAGGATTGGGGCTGGGAGAGGGGATGTAGGGCAGGGGTAAGGGACTGGGGCTTGGGCTGACCCATCTGGCAAGTTGGTGCTGGGAGTGGCCTCTCTGCCTCACTTCCTACCCTGCTCTCCCTCACCCACTCTCCTCTAACTCCACTTGATGCCCCTCACACACATGCCAAGTGCACCCTAGTCTCAGTGCCTTTGTATTTGCTGGATTATTCTTTCCCCAGATAGCCTCTGGTTTATGATCACATGTCACCTCAGGGAGGCCTTTTTTGGACTGCCTTGTTTAAAATAACATCCTCCTCTCAACAGTCCCTGTCCTCCTTTTTTGATCACCACCTGACAGTTTTCTGTATCATCCTTATGATCTTAGTCATGATCTCCTCTACCGGCCTGCTGCCCCGGGAGAGCAAGATCCTTATCAGTTTGTTCACTGAGATATCCTGAGAGTCTAGAGTGGTGACTGATACATAGTAGGTACTCAGTAAGTGTTTGTTAAATGACCGAGTGTGAGTTTGATAGCTAGATGGATATGCCTCTCTGGGAGGGGTGTCAGGGAGCGATGGCTGGTTTCCGATGGTATGTATTTTTGGAGTTGTGGCATTGTCACCTGATTGATTCTCCCTCCTCGCCCTCCATAGGTGACTCAGCTATCCTTCTCCAATCCATCGGGAGCCAAATCCGGGACCAGCTGGCCCTGCCCTGGGTTCCACCCCTCCTTCGCTCTCCCAAGCTGCAGCACCTCCAGGTGGGACCCCCCAGCTTATGTTGATCTTGCCTTCCTTGTCTCAATCTGGGTGCTCAGGTTTTTGCTCCCCCACCACCAGTGTCCCCTATCACAGTTTATCCAAGAGGCCCTGATTCTGCTCTCCCACCAGGGCTCAGCCCCCAAGAAACCTTTCCATGCCAGCAGGCTGGTCATGCCTGAGTTGAGTTCCAGAGGAGGTGAGTGTGAGACTGGGGAGGTACTGGAGAGAAGGGGAGAGGTGGGCTGTGTGGCAAGATAGGAAGGCTGGCTGACTTTGTTCCTGCTTCCAGAGTCCCGGGAATTCCAGGCAAGTCCCCTGTTACTACCAGCCCCCACCCAAGTGCCCCAGCCTGCTGAGAGGGTGGCCTCGCTCCTTGAATGCCATGCTATCCAGCTCTGCCAACACATGGGCCGGGACCACCCTGGGGACAAGGACTGGGTCCACTGGGCATCCCGCCTTCCCACCCAGGTACTGCTCAATGCTTGGCTCTGTGCTGCCAAGGACCCTGCTCACTTACTGCTCTATTTTTGTCTCCCATTTGGTCCTCTGCCCCTCTCCTTTCCCCACTTTGTCCTTCTCTTTGATTTTCTCCCCTCTGCGTATACCTACCTGGCTCCCCACATGCAAGTATGTTGGAGTCAGAAAGACTGGACCTCACATAGGTCAGTATCTTCACTCGGTCTCAGTTTCCTGTTCTAAGACACAGGTGGTGACAGTGCTCTGTGTTTGACTGAAAAATGGACACGAGGTTCCTAGCAACCAGAGCAGTCAGGATCTGTTTCTCTCTCTCGTTTCTGCTACCTTCTTCCCATCTCTGACATTCTCATTCTCTCTGTCTGCAGTTGTCAGCGGCGTTCATTTATTTTGTCTCAAGATCTCTACATAATATCTTCTGGTCACTGTCTTTCTCATTCTGTAGTTGTGCTGCCTCTCTTTCTTGCCCTTCTGTCTCCTCATTTCTGTGCTATGTCTCTCTCATTCTGTCCACCTCTGTATATGTCCCCTCTCCCCTCTGTCCACCTCTGCAACTGTCTCTTTCTGTCTCCCCCCACCTCCCCACTGTCATGTGTTCTGTCTTTATCTTTTTTAAACTTACAGAAATTGCAAACACAGAAGTAGAGAGAATGTCCTAATAAATCCTATGTACCTGTCACCCACCTTCAACTATAAGCATTTTGCCAAGCTTTCTTCATCTATTCTCCCTCACCTTTTTTTCTGTATTGTTTTAAAGAAAATCCAAGACATCATGTCATTTCAACTCTAAATACTTAAGCTATGTCTCTTAACTCATAAGGACATTCACTTTTTAAGGTGACCCCTAGGCCATTTTTCACACCTAATAAAATTAACAACAATCTCTTAAACCATTCATAGTGATATTTCCTCAGTTGTCTCAAAACTGCCTCTGTTCTTCTCTCTCTCTCTCTCTCTCTCTCTCTCTCACTTCCACTCTCTGTCTCTATCCTCTTCTTCGCCCAGAACCTCTGGCTTTGTCTCTGCTCTGTCCTCACATATCCTTTCCATGTCACTCTCTGATTTGGGTGCGGCAGGCTTCTTCACCTTCCCACATTCTCCTCCAATGTGAGAAGTGAGTGGGTGGGGAGAATCTTGGCTATGAGGAAGAAGAGACCCCATCCTTGGGGAGCTCCCAGACCAGTGGGCCAGGAGAGTGGGTCTGGGGGCCCTCTTGGTGGAAGAGGCTGGAGGGTGGATGTGACTTGTCAGTAGTACCTTGTCAGGTGGCTCCCTAGAGGAGGCAGGGCCTTGGATGCCCAGTAGGCCTCTACATTCTCCAGTTTGCCCTACCCTCTGTTTCCAGGAGGATACACGGGCTCAGCGGCAGCGGCTGCAGAAGCACCTGGCTGAGCATCTTCGCCAAACCTGGGGTCAGCTGGGCCCACCCCCACAAGCCCGAGACCTGGGAGAGTTGCTGCAGGCCTGGGGTGCTGGGGCCAGGACTGGTGCTCCCAAGGGCTCCCGCTTCACGCATTCGGAGAAGTTCACTTTTCATCTGGTGGGTGGGCTTGAGTGGACGTGGGGTGTGCTGACGGAAGGAACTGAGGCTGGTTTAGATGGTTGCTTTATGTACAAGCACCGTACTTTATCCACACAGGTGCCTGTGTCCCACCAGGCATGCCCTCTCCTCACTACGGGGGTCCACTGGCTTCTTGGGGACTTCAGTGAAGAAAGGATGGAGGGTGGGAACCATGTAAGGGTGGAGGGGTGCTCTTTGTGCAAACTCCAGCCTTCCCCAAGAAGTCTCCTCTGGGCATATCTTCTCTCCTTGGGTGGTCACCCAGAGGAGCCCTCATCCTTTCCATGGGCATTTGGGACTTCAGAGAAGGGGAAGGTGAGCAGGAGCTGTGTCAGGGTCAGGGAGGTTTCTTTATGAGCAAACACTCTAAGGTTGCAGAGAATGCCTTTAGCCTCATGCAGTCACAGTCTGATAGCCATCAGCAGTTGAGTGGGCATGGGTATGGTGCTGGGAAGGTGCATGTGGTGGATGTGGTGGCTGGGCTGTGAGGGGCAAGGCCTTCTCCAACAGTCCGGATGCTCCCTTCTCACTCTCCTAGGAGCCTGAGGCCCAGGCAGCCCAGGTGTCAGATGTGTTGGCCACCTCCCGGCGGCCTGAACAGGTGAGTGGAGCAGTGGGGGTTGACCTGGGTCCTTGTCTGTCTACTGGGCCTGACACCTGACTGGCCCATTCCTCCCAGGACACATGGGCAGCTCAAGAACAAGAGCTGGAGGCCCTTCGGGAGCAGCTGGAGAGAGTGAACCACAACATTGAAGAGGCTGAAGCCAACATGAAGACGCTGGGAATTGGCCTTGTGCAGGTGGCAGTGGGAGAGGGGCCGCTACCTGGGATTGGGTCACAATTTGGGCCTAGAGGGCTTAAGGGGACTTGAGGGGGCCGAGAGGTATTCAGGAGAGGTCTGCAGATGTCAGAAGGGTTCATAGGGGCCTTTGGGGGGACATGCAGGGCTCTTCAGGGTTCAGGAGAATCAGTGGGGGCGAGAGGGGGATGTAGGGTTGTGGGGCTTGGTGGACCTGTAGGGGTGAGAGGTGCCTGTGGGCATCAGTCAGGCCTTGTGGATGTCTGTGAGAATCAGGAGGTGTGTGAGCATTTCTGGGCATCTGTGGGGCATGATGGGTCTTTACAGACAAGAGCTCATGAGGCTCATCAGCATGGGGGTCAGCATGGAGGTAGAGGGGTCGGGGGGCCTGTGGGTGCCCATTGCTGTTTATAGGTCTGTTGCCATCAGGAGGGGGTTAAGGGACAGATTGGGGCTAGAAAGGTATGTCATCATTTGTGGGAGCTCGGGCTAGGCCCAGGCTTTCCAGGCTCAGGGGGATGGGTGGGAAGGCTGTGGTGTATGGCCAAACTCCTCCACTGACTGGGAGTGGGGATCCCTGGCTGCCAGGTAGAGACTGAATGTCGGCAGAATGAGCTCAGCATGGCGGAGCGGGAGCAGGCCCTGCGCCTGAAGAGCCGGGCGGTGGAGCTGCTGCCCGATGGGGCTGCCAACCTTGTCAAGCTGCAGGTGGGGCTGGTGCTGGGGCTGGGCTGGAAGGGTTGGAGGTGGGGGAGGCCAGCGTGTGTGACATGTACCCTCCTACTGCCACCCCCAGCTCGTGGTAGAGAGTAGTGCCCAACGGGTCATCCACTTGGCGGGCCAGTGGGAAAAGCACCGGGTCCCACTCCTTGCTGAGTACCGTCACCTCCGAAAGCTCCAAGATTGCAGAGAGGTAGGTGGTGGGGTCCTAGGCTGTGGGTGGGACAGGTTTGGTTTCTCCTTAGGCGGCCATTCCCATACTCTGCTCACTGCCTTCTACTCTACCCATGGGGTTCTGGCAGCTGGAATCTTCTCGACGGCTGGTAGAGATCCAAGAGCTACACCAGAATGTTCGGGCAGCTGCTGAGGAGGCCCGCAGGAAGGAGGAGATCTATAAGCAGCTGGTAAGGTCCATGCCAGGGCCCCAGGTGGCTCAGAGTGGGTGGCGTATGGGTCTTGGAGGAGTGCCTGCTGTGTCCCTGTCTAGGTGTCTGAGCTGGAGACCCTGCCCAGAGATGTATCCCGGCTGGCCTATACCCAGCGCATCCTGGAGATTGTGGGCAACATCCGGAAGCAGAAGGAAGAGATCACTAAGGTACGCCTCCATGGCCATGGAGGGTGGGTCATATGGGCAGATATTCCCAAAGGGCAGATGTATGTAACATGGCCACACAGGAACCTTACACCCCTTGATAAACAGACCTGTTTGGCCACACCCTGACCCAGAACAGCCTCACACAGTCCACTCCAGCCAACCCTGATGCAATGACACAGGCCCTGTCTGGATGTGAGTGTAGGCACATGAATGTCCTCAGATGGCCGGCCACCCCACCCCAGACATGGGCTCATGGCCACCCTGGTCTCTGCCAGATCTTGTCTGACACGAAGGAGCTTCAGAAGGAAATCAACTCCCTATCTGGGAAGCTGGACCGGACATTTGCAGTGACTGATGAGCTTGTGTTTAAGGTATGAAGCAGGCTAGGCTGGGTGGAGGGGTGGTGTGGGGCTGGGCTGCTGCCTGCCCCTCTGCTCATGGGCTGGCTTTGGTTTGTGCCTTGTGTGAGCCTCGCAGTTACAATAATGCTCAGGCCTGGCTTTGCTCTGTGGAGGATGACGTCTTGGGGATGGGAGAGTGGGGTTCTAAAGGTGGTGTATAGGGGGGTGGGGCAGGGGAAGCCCACTGATACCTTCGAGGTCCTTTCTGTCTGGTCAGGATGCCAAGAAGGATGATGCTGTTCGGAAAGCCTACAAGTATCTAGCTGCCTTGCATGAGGTGAGGGGAGAAGCGTGCCTTGGGGGCTGTCTGGGGAGGGTCCAGGTTGGGTTATAAGCCTTCTGCTCCTGCTGTTCCCAGAACTGCAGCCAGCTCATCCAGACCATTGAGGACACAGGCACTATCATGCGAGAGGTGCGAGACCTTGAGGAGCAGGTGAGGCCTGGGGGTGGGAGGAAAATCAAGGTAGGCCAGGGGACAGCTCCTCAGTTTGTACCAAGACAGGCTGTGGAACCAGACACAGCTTATGGCTGGAGTCTCTGCCCTGCCCCTTAGCCATACACATGACCTGGGACAGGCCAGTGGTCTACTCTGAGTTCTGGCTTCTACCCAGAGGGTCCTCACGCCTGCCTCCCGGGGCCATTGGCAGAGGCTTCAGCTTGAGTATGTGGTGGATAATCCTGCCATGTAGCAAACGATGCTTTAGGTGCTGGAACCACTCCTGCAAAGGCCTGGCAGTGGGACAGAGAAGACTATTGTTGGGAGGGGTGGGAGGAGCCCAGGAAGGGCCCTGAGTGGTTATAATGGAGGGGGTGGCGAGCAGGAGCTGGGAAAGGGGCCCTGCGCGCTGAAGGGATGCGATTCACGTTGCCTAGATCGAGACGGAGATGGGCAAGAAGACCCTCAGCAACCTGGAGAAGATCCGCGAGGACTACCGGGCCCTTCGCCAGGAGAACGCTGGCCTCCTGGGGCGGGTCCGTGAGGCCTGAGGGGCCACTGGCAGAGGTCTCCCCCACTCCAGGATTCAGCAGGGATTTGGGGTGTTGGAGGTGATGGCCAAGTGCTTGTCCTAGCCATTCCCTGTGTTTGCTGTCCAATCCCTCTTGCTGTGGCGACTCCTGCCCACCTGACCCCAACCCTTATCTGAGGTGATTGTCCAGAGTGTGAGAACTTGGCTGCAGTTTATTGGGGAGGGCACTGGGGGTTGAGCCTTGGATCCAAAATAAATGAGGGGCTCTGTCTGCAGTCTAAGCTGAGGCATGGATTGGGGCACAGGGCTCAGGGTGGGGCAGAGGGTGGGTAGCAGGTGAGACACGGGGTACATTTGGTGAGTCAGTGTGTGTCTGTGTGGGACTCAGGAGACCCACTGGGGCTCTGTGTGGGCGTGTATAGTGTATGCGTGGTATGTAATTGAATTCTAATGGGCTGTGTGACTGAGCGTGTGTGTCAGGGTTGGCTGTGTGAGACTGTGCATGACTGGTATGTGTTTGTGTGGCTTTCTGGGACCTGAGACCCTGAAGGCAAAAGCTGCTTCTGTATAGGTGTCTGGGTACACCCTGTAACACTACACGTGGGGGCCAGAAGGCTGGCTGTCGGTGTGTGCTTTGGAGTGTGTGAGTTGACAGGATTACTTGGGTATGATTGTTTGTGTGACTGTGCAGATTTGAGGTTGTCTGAGTATACTGAGACAGGCTCTTTGTATTTGGGGGTTTGCATGGAGACCAAGGGACAGGAGTGTGAGCATCTGTGTGTCTTTTCCAGCCTGGGGACATCTGCGAGTGACTGATTCAGACTGTGTGTGGTTGGTTGTGAAGGCTGTTTGCCTGAGAGCCCATCACAGGGGGCTGGGTGAGGGGTGCATGGCTGAGGTAGGGGTACAGGGTTGGGGCCTCTCTGAGCAGCCTTGGTACAGAGCGTATGATCCAAGTGGGGTGGTCGGCTGGGGAACAATGTCCCTGGCAGGCAAGACAGTGCACACCTCACTTCTTGGTCCCTGTGGGAATGGCCAGGGCCTGCCAACCCTGCCCCCGGCCACTTCTGCCCCAAATTTTGGCCCCTGTCATTCCTTCCTTTTCTTGATTTTGAGGTTAGGGGCCAGGTATGGGGTTGGAACACCTGCTGGGCCTCTGGCTCCTCTTCTTGCGGAACTCAAACTCATCCACGGTCCACACAGCCCCCTTCTCACTCTCCACTCTCACGAAGCACTTGTGCAAGCTCAGGTTGTGGCGAATGGCATTCTGTGGAAGGAAGACCAGCCAGCCAGGCCGGGGGTGGGGGTGGGGGAATCAGGTGGGCAGTCAATCTCTGAGGTTAGCAGTCCCCACCAACAAACCAACCTTCTGCCCTTTTCCATCATGTTTGCAAGTCCAGCCCCAAGCCTTCCCAGCTTGGCCCAGCACTGTGGTAGCATTTGAGGTCACTTCGGCCATTGCTACCTCTAGAGGCACTCACCTTCCAGGTTGCAGGGTGGTTTCTGAAGAAGGCGAACATGCGTGTGAACCAGTGATAGATCTCATTGAGTGTCCGCTGCTTTTCAGGAGCCTCTAGAATGGCCTGGAAGTTAGGGGGATGGGGGTAAGGGGAGCCACTCACTCAATGTTTGGCTGAGGGGTAGTGGCCTACCCTGGGCCATCTGACATGGGATGGAATTGTGGGGGCAGGGGAAGGGAGGGAGGGAGATGGTGTGGGGTGATGGATCAGAGACAGGGTTAGAAGTAGAGTGAGGGTAGACTGTGATGGGGTTATATAAAGGATCAGGGCCGAGGTTGGAGTGGGGTATGGTTTAGGGTTAGGGATGGAGTTAGGTTAAAGGTCTGGGATGGAGGTAGAGTGGGGGTTCTCTGTAGGGGTGAGGTTTCAGGTTTCGGAAAGGTTAAGGGCCAGGATTGGGGTCAAGTTAAGGGTTTGGAAGAGGTAGAGGGCCAGGCAGAGCTAAAGGTCAGGGAAGGAGTTGGTTAAGGGTCAGGCTGTGGATGGACTGGGGCAATTTGAGGGGCATGGGACAGGGTGATGTGGCATCAGGTCAGAAGTCAGAGATGAGCCTAGTTGTCTAGTTATTTTATGGGTCAGGAATGTGGTTAGGTTTAGGGTCAAGAATGAGGTTAGTTGTGAAGTTGTAGTGAAGTTGAGATTAGTTGTGTATAGTCATTAAGGGGCAGGGCTGGGGTTATGCATGGAGTGTGGCTAAGGGTCAGAGATTTGATCTATTTGGATTTAGGAATGGGATTAAGTCAAGGGGCAGTGAATACAGCTGCAGCAAGTTCCAGATCGGGATGGGGCCAGGTAGGGGACTGTGTGGCATTAGGTTAAGGTTCAGGTTTGGTGTTAGATGTGGGCCTAGGATGAAAGTCCAGATGGGCTCTTGTGAAGGTTCTGGGAAGGCATGGGAGAGATTCAGATGAAGGGGTTGGGTTGGGCTGAGGTTAAGAGTCAGATAGTCAGATAGGTGTTACAAGGAAGGGGTTAGGGATGGGGTCCAGCCAGGGCATATGTTTACATACTGGGGTACACTGGGGCTGGGGAACGAGTTAGGGTAATACCTGGGAAGGGTTTAAGGCAAGGGGCATAGATCAAGTTATTTTTTGGGCAATTTTTTAGGTCTAGAAGGGGGTTAGATATGCGGTTGAGGTAGACATCAAGAAAGGTGTGGGTTTAGGGCCAGAATTTTGCTTGCCCTGGCCTGGATGGTAGTTTAAGTTTGGGTTTGGGGGCAGGGCTGGGGTGAAGCCAGCATGGGGCATCATATCTGAGGTATGGATTTTTTCAAGCAGGAGCCTGCCCTAGGGTTGCTCAGAGGGAGGCCGGGAATTTGGGAGGCAGGTTTCCATCCCTTCTTTCTCTTTCTTATTCTCCTTGGCCTAAGCTGGCCAGCTTACCCAGCGGATGAGAGTGGCATAAGTAAAAGGGGGCCGCATGTTGTGGAACTTGAAGTAGTCCATGTTGTGGAAGAACTCTGTGCGACGTGGGGAGAAGAGTTAGGCCCTATCTGGATCTCCTCACTCCTTCTCCCACCCTTCATTCTTTCCATGATAACAGTTACAGTTTGCTAAGCACTTGACATAACTTGTATCATATGCACCACTCCCACTAAAACAGAGCTTATTCTTCCTGAAGTTTAAAAGAAAGGAAGCAACTTGTACACTAAAGTAACTGGTTAAGTGGCAGAGTCAGGATGACACTGAGGGACCCTGATCCCTGTTAAGCCCACGTACCAGGCCTTTTGAGTAATAGGGGATTGGTGAGCTTGGGCAAATCACCCCTCTTTCCTTTGGCCTGGGAGGGACAGTCCCTGGGAATTATGGAGCTAGTTCTCTCTGATGACCAAATGGAATTGCTGAAGCCCTAATCCCCAGGACAGTGAGTGAACCCCAATCTCAGAGGAGACAGGGCTAGACATCTGAGATCATAATGGAGGCTTGCAGGCCACTGAAATCCTGAGAGGAAGCTTTTGCAAGCAGATGTGCTTCCCCAAAGGCCAGGCGGTTGTGGTGGGGAAAAGCAGTGTGGAGCTCCTTTCTACTCCCCCCAATCTCATGCTAGTCTGGGGATTAGGGGCTTGGGGGCACTATGTCAGGCACAGACCATCCTTACCTGGGAACGTGCTATGTCCATGGCTGCCCCAGAGGTGCCTCCGCACAGGAAACAGGCCATCGGGGCCCTCCTGGGGGCCAGGCCAGGCCGGGACAGTGGTGCCTGGGTTGCTAGTGGCTACAATGCAGCAGGAGCCCTTGTCGGATGATACCTGGGGAAGGAGGGAGAGGCTGGTGACACAGGCTGAAACTTTCCACTTTAATTTTAAATAAGTGTTTTTAAAAGCAAGGACACTCTTTTCCTAACCCCAGTCTGATGTGGGCTCCCACAAAGCAGCATGAGCTATATTTATCAGAGTGTGGTGTGGACCCTAGTGTGAGTAGTGCACCGATGCTAGGGCTGCAAACGGGTTGAATCGGGCTCCTCTACCACCCAGCTGTGACCTTGGGAAAGTCACTTAAGCCTCCCTGGCCTCAATTTTCCTCATCTGTGGATTAGGGATGCCTACTTTACAGTGGCATCATGAGGACTAAATAAGTTCACACCACCAAAGTGCTCAGAAGCAGTGCCTGGCACCGAGGGCCCACCTCATGGGCACGTGACCTATACAGCTGCACAGGGCCCTGCACTTTAATGCTCTGCAGTCGTCATTTTGCAATTTGAGCCCCACATTTTCATTTTGCCCTGGCCCCAAGTGAGTTATATAGACACTCCTGCCAGCAGCACATAGTCTGCATTCAGTAAGTTTCTAGCTATTTGCTGTTGCTTTCAGAACAAGACCATGATGTTTCAAGAGTGTAGATTCAGAGGGTTTGTAAGTGGATGGGGACAGATTCTCAGATTTGGGCATATTCAGAGCTGGGGACACGGGCCCAGAGGTCCCAGGGTCTGGGTGTGAGGATAGGTCCTCTGCACTCTGCAGGGCCCCTCCCCTGTCTGTCTCCCAGCAGTCTGTGCTGCTATCAGGCGTAGGGTGGCTCACCACAGAAGGAGCCTTGGTCAATGCCATCTTCCCGGCCAGGTGGGCCTGCATAGCACCCAGCTTCTCCTTCTCCAGCACCAGCTGTAAAGATGGGCACAAAGTGAGGCCTCAACTTGGACTTTCTCTACCACATATTTGGCCAGGCTATGGTCTTCCCTGGGAGTACCTTACCCACTTCCTTCCTTTATCCCAGCCCCTATCCTGCGTGAGCTTGACTCCTGGCACAGGGTGGGTATAAAGTTTGCCTACCATTCACCCCACCACTTCCCCAACCCCACATTACCTGCTGCTCCAGAGACTGTACCACCTCTCTCTGGAGGAGACACTGCGCCCTGCCCTTCTCATCCAGAAGATGGTCTGCCTGGCAGTGCCTGGGGAGGAGGAAGATTCCATGCAGATGACTGGTGGGCCAGGTTTCCTGGCTCAATATTCTGAGTGGGGAGCGGGGGGGGCGGGGGGAGAGAGAGAGAGGGAGAGAGAGGGAGAGAGAGGGAGAGAGAGGGAGAGAGAGGGAGAGAGAGGGAGAGAGAGGGAGAGAGAGGGAGAGAGAGGGAGAGAGAGGGAGAGAGAGGGAGAGAGAGGGAGAGAGAGGGAGAGAGAGGGAGAGAGAGGGAGAGAGAGGGAGAGAGAGGGAGAGAGAGGGAGAGAGAGGGAGAGAGAGGGAGAGAGAGGGAGAGAGAGGGAGAGAGAGGGAGAGAGAGGGAGAGAGAGGGAGAGAGAGGGAGAGAGAGGGAGAGAGAGGGAGAGAGAGGGAGAGAGAGGCAGGCGGGGCGGGGGTGGGGAGGGGAGGCACGTGGAGGCAGCAACAGTCATTGTGAGGAGCTGAGACTTTGAGGATCATTAAAATTAAGCTAGTGTGTTGGCATGAGAGGTAGCAGGACAAAGCAATTAGAAGTATGGATTCTGGAGCCTGAATGCCTGGGTTTGAATCCCAGCTCTGTCACTTGGGAAGTGGATGATCTTGATCAAGACACTTAACCTCTTTGGCCTCAGTTTCTTTGTCTGTAAAATGGAGGTAAATAATAGTATGCACTATTATGCTCCATATACAAATGAGAAAACCAAGGCCCAGAGAAGCTAAGTAACTCGCCCAAGGTCATGCAGCCAGTGAGTGACAAAGCCTGGATTTGAACCCGCAGTCTCAGCTTTTGCCTCTTTCATCTTACTACCTATCAGGATAAGGCCCGAGCTGAGACCTGTACCCCAGACCTCCTCCCACAAACTGGGGACCCCTCTGGACTGGAACGGGCCTGGGCCACTCACTGGAGGAAGTCCTCTGGCTCCTTGAAGACCTTCTCACATCCGGGCCACTTGCAGACACCATTTACCAGCAGTGAGTAGGAACCCTGGGTCATGGTCGGAAGGGTGCTAGGGGGACAGAGGGTGTCAGGGGAGGGAATGGCAAGGCAAGGGTTCTTCCCAGCTCTGCCCACTGACCTCTCTTTCCTGGGTGCATCGGGGCTTGGGAAAGTGCAGAGCAGTGCTGGTTCCCGGGACACCCATTCCAGGCTGGCCACATTGATCCCTGCGGGTGGGGACAGGGCACCTCTGGAGACTGTGGACTGTGCTCCACAGCTTGGCCCACAAGACCTCTCTTTTTGAGCTGCCCACCCTCCAGAACCTCACAGGTCCTGACTCCCAGGGAGCTCTGATGTCCCTAACATCCAAGGCTTCTGGTGGAGCAGTTAAAAAACTGCCATTCACAAGTGCTGACATTTTGATTAACTTTGCAAAGATCTGTGGTTCTGTAATTTTGACATTCTACATCTTTCAGGTTCTGAGCCTGACATTTTTTGGAGGTTGGAGTTTCCAAGATGATAAAAGCTGACACTTCTGACCTGTGGGCCACAATTCTGCAGCCCACACTGCTCACATTCAAGGACTTGGGTCTCTGGGGTTTTGGGGAGCTTTGGGGTGCGGTGTTACCAGGTGGCATGCCAGGCCGAGCCTTCAGGGAGAAGACTCCAGTGGCAGCGCTGGGTGGCGGGAGGCTGATCATAGCTGGGCTGTCCAGTGGGCGCACCTGCAGCACAGGAGTCCGGGCATGGGCATCCACTGTTGAGAGCTGGGGGCACATATGGGCTGGGGTTCAGCTTGGCCCCCTCCTCAGTTCTCCCACCTGCTCCCTCCTCCCTGCCCAGTCAGGGTTGGTACCTGGTGCATGAAGTGTGGCCGGTTCTGGAGGAGTGCCTGCAAGTGCGGTGAGGGACCCAGCCGTGCTCCAGAGGGCGCCACCATGACGAGTGGCACTGTGGGAAGCTGGGGAGAGAAGGCAGGTGGGTGGGATGCCATCCTCATCCTCACTGTTCTACATTTCTAATTCATATACTCCTCACCACAACCGCATATAGTAGGAACTATGACCATCCCCTTTATACATCTGTAGAAACTGAGGCTCAGGGAGATTGAGTAACTTTCTTAAGATCAAACAGCTAATAAGTGGCAGAGCTGGCCTCAACCCTGTCATCTCACCTCCTTGGGCTCCCTTGTCACATGGGGATGGGGACACATGGACATGCCTATAGGACCATGATAGGGTCTCCTCTCCTGAGACAGGGATTGTAAGGTCAGGGAGAGCCTTGAATCTCTGAGACCTGCTAAGTGGGGATTTTCTTGGCCCTGTGATATCTGCATAAGTCACAGACTTGCCTGGGACCTAGAAAACCACTTCCTGTGCCCTAGCTGGGCCTCCCGCCTGATGCCACAGTAAAGGTCAGCACCTATAGACTCAGGTACCCCACCCTGCTTGCCCCATTCTGGGCCCTGAGCCTCACCTGCAGCTGTGATGGTGGTATGGGATTCAAAGAGGAAGAGGAGGCATGGGCCACACCTCGAAGGTCCCGGCCCTGGAAGGTTGCCCCAGGGCCCTTGGTCCCCAGCAGGTCTGAGGCCTTGGGTGCAGCCCTCCAGCTGGGTGAGGCTCCTGGGGATGGGCTGAGCACCAAGGAAGGGGCTGAGGGCTTGGCTGGCCTGGGGTTGGGCATTGGGTCCTTTTTTGAGGGCAGGCTGTGGCGACATCGGGGGAAAGAGGTATGCATGTGCTACAATCACTTGAACCACATGGATACCCCCTCTGGTTGGAGCAGGCATTGGCTGAGACATGTCCCGAAGGGTGCCATAGCTGGACCCCAGCTTTGGTCATGTGTGCGTGTGCACATACACACACACATTGGTGTCAGGAACACAGGTATGTGTCTCTCCATGTACACTCCACGTGCAGACTTGCACAGGTCCAGCACATGGCTTTCCTGTGCATGCTGGCACAGCCCCGGTGGGGATGTGTCCTCCAGAGGGCAGTGGGAGCTTTGGGTTGGTTTGCGGGGCCTCAGCCAGGGTATGTCTCAGTTCCTTCCCTCACTGCTTGAGGCTTGTCTTCAGGACTCACCCCTCTGGCCCTCCCTTTACCCAGCACAGCCTGTAGCTGATCCTGCTGGGGCTGGTCTCTGATTTTCTCCTGGGAGCATCATTTTAATCCAGTGACTTGGGCATATCTGGGAGTGGTGGGGGGCATGGACTCAAAAGATCCCTCTGGCTACTGTGAGAGAGACAGATTCTAGAAAGGTGAGGGCAGAGCAGGGGATTAGTGAGGACAATACTACAACAGTCCAGGTAAGTGATAATGGTGGCAAAGACCAAGACGGTGGCAGTGGAGATGTGAGAATAGGTTGATTCTGAGCATGTTTGAAAGGAGTCACAATTTGCTGGCAGCTTGGATATGGGGGTGAGAGAGGGAGGGTCAAGGTGACTTCTGGGTATTAGCTTGAACAGCTGGAAGGACAGAGCTGAAATGACTTGAGATGAGGGGTATGGGGGGAAGGGGGTGGAGGAGTGATGATCCAAGTGTGGATGGACATGAAAAGTCTGGCCTTGGACATACGAGTGGGGATGCCAAATGGGCAGCTGAGTACAGGAGTCTGAAATTCAGGAAGGGGCAGGTTCTGGTCATCTCTGGGCTCTGCTCTGCACAGAGCTGGCATGGCATGTGCCAGAGAGGATATATGGGCTCTCTTGAGCCTGTGGGAGCTCGTCGACTCAGCCGTCACTGGAGTTTACCCCTAGCCTGTCTCCAAGCCTTCGCTTATGCTGGTCAGCCTGCCTGGATTTTTCTCTTCCCCTATCTAAGGCCAATCCAGAAAGTCATCTATAAGGGCTCCAGAACCCTATACTCCCTGATGGGTGGGGCCTTGGTTTCTCAGAATCCTATAGTCCTAGTCTGAGGAAGCTAGAGCTAGAATGGAATGCCTAGTCCAACCTCCATTTTACTGAAGGGGACACCCAGGTTCAGTGTTCCACAGTCCCATCGTGACTTGAGAGCTCTACTTCTTTCTCTGGAAAGTGTGCATGTGTGCACATTTCACAAGCTCCCTGCTGTGGGGCTGTGTGTGTGTGTGTGTGTGTCTCCCCGCCCCACCCCACAGCACTGAGTTGGGCACACAGCTGCTGAAAACAGCCTGGGGGATTACAAGGAGGGTTCTAGGGGAGCGGTTGCTCCTTCTTTTCATTGATGTCGGCCCATGGGGGTTGTCAGGGCTGGGGTTCTGAGGGTGAGAATCCGGGTATTCAACCCTTAGTCTCCCTGGAGGTTAGAACATTACTGTGTGAAAATCAAGAGCCTAGGTCTATGGAGGCTTAGAACAAAGGCCTGAGAGAATGTCAGTGACCATGAGGAGGTAAGTGAATGAAAGAATGAATAAATGAAGGCAGAGATCAGGATGATGTTTCTACAAGCCAAGGAATGCCAAAGATTGCTAGCAAACTATGAGAAGCTAAGAGAAGCACAAACACTTTCTCCCTCACAGTCCTAGGAGCCAACCCTGCTGTCACCTTGATCTAGGACTTCTGGCCTCCAGAACTGAGATAATAAATTTCTGTTTAAGCTACCCAGTTTGTGGTACTTTGTTACAGAAGCCTGAAAGCACACTAATACTGATTTTGGTGAGTGAGTGGATGTTTTCCACTACTCTGGCTTGGTCCACACAGCTGGCCTGTGGTCACTTCTGAATCTGCCTGGACACTTGGCCAGAGCTTATAAGAAATCTCTTCCCAAAACACTTTTGGAGTGGCCTGATTCAGGGAATCATAGGTACATTCTCAGAAAGGGGACATGGATATGGTCTGTCTGGTAGTGGGGTACTGGAGGGCCAAGCTGGGCAGCCAGCTTCCTGCATTGTCTGTTGGGGCGTCCCTTTCTGACTATTTCTCAGAAGATGCATGGCGGATGTTTCTGGGACATAGATTGTGTTTTCATATCGGGGTCTGCATCTGGGCCCCATTGTCACAGCCTCTGACTTCCCCAGATTTTTCCGCCATTGACGTCATGGCGGCCGGATGCGCTGGGCTTCATCGGTACCAAGGAGGAAGAGAAGGGGGCAGACACCCAACCCCACAGGTTTCGTTCCGAGAATTGGCTGGCCCATCCTGCAGTCTGCTTGGCCCAGGTGAGGTGATGTGGGTGCTGGCGGATGTGGTGAGTGACGTCCATCTGGCTACCATGACAAGCCCTGGGTCCTGTAGACCTGGCCCTTCTTAGGCCATGGAGAGGCCCAAGTTTTGATGCTTGGGTAGTGCCATGCAGACCCCACAGATACTGGGACCCTCAGGGTCTTCGAATGGTACTACACCAGAACCTCAGAATCACAGAACATCATTTCTTAGATTCAAAGGATCCCAGAATCTCAAACCCACACACTCTGTGAGGTCCATGGGTCCAACTTCTCAGTATGTGAAGGCCAATGTCTCTGGTGTCCTAACTTACTGGAACTCTTCAAAGGGCAGAAAACTCACTATTTCATAGGGCCTCTCACCTGCCAGGCCCAGAATTGTAGCAAGCCTCCCTCCTCAGTTCTATGAAGGCAGGAGGGTTAGAATTAACCCCTCTGCTTCCCCTAGTGTAGAGCCAGGCTCTGCCACTAACTAGCTGCAACTCTCCTCAGGCTCATATATAAATTGGGACAATAATTGTACTTATCTTCCAAAGTTAGTGCACATAAAATGCTTAGCAAAATGTCAGTGATCTATGAATGGACACCTGCAGGGCCTCTGTCTCCCTGTCTATTCCGGAACAATGTTTCTAGACTCACAACCACTCTGCTAGAGATGGAGAAGGAAGGAAGGGGAGGTTGAGGCTGGTACACTTTCGGCAAGGGCCTCATGGTGGGGAGCAGGAAAAGCCCTGGCCTTTGCCAATAGAGATCCCACCACCAGGCTCTCTGGAGGGGTCCTAAAATGGAGGTTCCCAGGGACCAGTGCCAACTCTGGAGACACAGCTGAGCTCTTTCCACAGCCAGACTAACTGACTGATATCGCTTTAGTATCACCAGCCTCTGGCCATGAGGCCTCTTGACCCATGGGGCCCTGGGACCCCACCCAGCCTAGCTCTTGGGAGGCTGGGCCCCACACTGTGACCATGAATCTTCCTGCCTTAGGGAGAGTCCTACCTGTGAGAAAGCAGAAGGGGGAATGACAGAAGCTGGGTGGCAGCCCAGGTCCCCTCTCCCCACTCATGGATGCGTGGACGTAAACTGAGGCTCACGATGGCGAGAGAAACAGAGCCAGGGTCCCACCAAGAGTCCTGAGATCTGAGCTTGGGTCTCGACTCTGCCACTGTGTCTCTGTGAGGCCTTTGGAGAGGCTCTCCTGCCCAATTCTGGGCCTCAATTTGCTCCGCTTGTACATTGGGAAGGGGAGAGGTACGGAGTAGATGAAGGCCAGGACCCTGCTGCTCTGTGTCGGGGTGAGTTGTTAGATATCTGCAGGGCTTCAAGTCGACAATTGCCCTCTATTCAGGGGACTGAGAACAGGGATACATAGAGACAAAGAGAGACAGACATAAGGGAAGAGAGAGACACAGAGAACAAGGGGTACAGAGAGAGATGGGAGAGACATGAGATGGGACAGAAATAGAGAATGAGAGTCAGAGAATGAGACAGCGAGAGATGAGAGAAGAGACAGAGCGTGTGTGTGTGTGTGTGTGTGTGTGTGTGTGTGTGTGTGTGTGTGTATATACTATGGATTACTTCTTTTCTTGATGACAGATAGATAGATAGAGAAAGATGAAGGAGAGAGAGAGAGAGAGAGAGAGAGAGAGAGAGAGAGAGAGAGAGAGAGAGAGAGAGATCCCAAATAAGAACACTTGCTGGCCTCTGGCTGGAGGAACTGATGCTGCCTGAAATAACAAGGAATAACCAAGGGCAAGATGGAGGAGGGTGCGTGCCTAGGGCTGGGAATTATGTTGTATTACAGGGCAACAATCAGCAAAGTAGTGTGGCCCTTGTACAAGAGTAGACATTGAGGAACAGAATGGAATAGAAAGCTCAAACACAAACCCACGGCTAGAGGGAATTGAGTTTGTGATGAATGTGGCATTTCAGACTGGGGTACAGTGGAGGATAGATTGTTTAACAAATGTTTCTCGGATAATTAAGAGAAAAATAAAGTTATTGAATGAGTAATCAGTCTATTTTCCCACTAACCCCTCCTTGCCCAGTTTGAAATGTTGCCATCATCATAGACCCTAAAATAAATTCCAGATTCATCAAAGAGATAAATGATATCTAATGCTGACCTTCCATTTATTGTATGCCAGGCCCTATGCTAAGACCTATGGTTAATAAATTTAATCCTCACAACCACCTTTGAGGTAGGTACTATTATAGCCATCACAGTACATATGAGGAAATAGAAGTACCGAGAGTTTAAATGCCTAGCTAAAAATCACACAGATGGCTTGGGGGTGAGGCTGGGTTTGTCCCAGACAGTCTGACTCCAGTACCCACACTCGTAACCTCTACAGTAAATGGAAAAAATGAAACCATAAAAGAGACTAGAAGCCAACACATTTATCTCATTTTCAAGTGGGAAAGAACTTTCTAAGTACAAAACCAGAGACAGTAACCACAGAAGAAAAGACTAGGCTATTTGACTATATAAAAACATCACAAGATCACAAAACACTATAAACAAATAGAAAAAGCAAATGATGAATTGGGGGAAAATGTGTTTTATATATATGTATAGCTGATGGAAGGTTAATATCCTTTCTAAATAAAGAGCTGTGATGAATAAATTTAAAAAAAAGATGAACACCTTATTAGGACTAAGGGCATGACCAGACAACTAAAACAAAACCATAAATGGTCAATAAACAGTATAAGTAAATCAAAGAATGCAAATTTCAACAATGTGATAAGATTTTTTCTTACTTGTTGTGTTGAGAAAGGATTAAAAAGTGATAATATCCACCCAGGATTAGCTTGAGTAGAGGGAGCATAAAACAGGACAACCTTTTGGAGGAATAATTTGTAGAGACGGTCAGAAACCTTAAAAATGCGCATAGTCTTTGCCAAATAACTCCATTTTCAGGAATCCAAGGAACTAATCAGGGATGATTGTGGGAAAAAAAACTAAGAACAATCCAAATGTCCAATAATTGGCACTTTGTTGAACCAATCATGATTCATGTCAATGTAAGGTAAGTCTTGACAGCCATGAAAGATCTTATGTTGAAACAATTTTTAGTGATCTAAAAAATGAACCTATTAATTGAATAAAGCAGGAACGAAGCCAATGGATAGCATGATTCTAATTTGGTTAAAAAAATACTACCAGCTAATACTTAGCACTTGCTAAGCCTTCAGAGATGGCTTCAGGGTCTTCTCTCATACAGTGCAAACACAAGTTCAGTTAAGTGCTCAGCCTGACCGAACAACTCATGATCCTCCTTTGATCAGAGCAAACGGAATTGATGCTCATTCTTATAAAGTATAAATTTCCTCAATGACATTATTCAACACACTATTATCAAGCACCATCTGTGTATAAAGCTCTGAATGCTAGGTGGGAAGGCAGGTAGGGGAAGGTGAGACAAGAGCAGGAGAGACAGTGGGAGAAAAACTGAGGAAAAGAGAAAGATGGAGTGTGGTCAAGATGGAGGAGACAGAGACTGGGAATATGGTCAGAATTGATAAAGACAGAGGGATGGAGACTCTGAGTGCCAGGAAAACAGAGAGAGGGGCAGAGGAACATGGAAAGAGAGAAACTGGGCAAACAGAGACAGAGGGATGGGAGATATCGAGCGAGAAGAGACAGAGAGGCGAGAGGTGTAGTTGAAATTTCCATTTACGACTGGACAGCGTTTCAAGTTGTTTAAAGCTCTGAAATACATAAAGACTAGCAGTCGACATATTTAAAAAAATCCTACCCATCCACGTATCAATCAACTTATTTATCTTTGCCTCTGGCCAAGCACCAATTAAGTACTTTACCTATCAGTTTTCTGGCATTTATTATTACTATTATTATTGTATTATTATTATTGTAAAATATTATTGTATTATTATTATTATTGTAAAAAATACCTTACCTGACCAGGATCAGGAGTTGCATATGTTTGGACTGTACTGGAGGACCCTTGATCCTCCAGTGCCTACCTCACTGCCATTTCTTCCATCGGACCCGCATTTGGTGGGGGAGAGCAGGGACACTCACCTTGGTGAAGTGGACTGACAGAAAAGGATCAGCCTGGCTTGTGGGAAACTGTCACATATCAAAAACAACTTTGCTTTTATACCGAGAAGAAAAACCACGGTGTGGAAGCCGCAGACCTCTCTCTTCTAATAATCCATTTTTTTTTTCGATGACTGTGTACGCTGATAATCACGGCGTGGGGGGGGTGGTTCTCATAGTTCTCTCTCTGTCTGTCTCTCTCTCTCTCTCTGTTTCTCCTCTTCTTGATTATGAGACTTAAACGGAAATTTTGAAATTTTGGGTTTTTTCTTTGCCCTTTACAAGTCATCTGAAAATATAATTTCTTCCCCTCACCACAGAGGTGAGAGGTATCAATGAGATAACAGGGCTCATGAGAAACCACAGTTTTTTAAACAACAGTGTGTAGAGTTAGGGAAAAAAAAAACAGGGAAAAGAACTCAAATAAATCACAGGGGCATTCCAGGCAGGTAGAGACACCACACTGTGAGTGAGAGGGTATTTCTGCGTCTCTGGGGAAAGAAAGAGAGGCACCGAGGCCCTGAGTGTGAACGGGAAATACCAGGGAAAGAAGCAGAATAGGGCTAGGTTTCCAGATGCTTTGCCCTGCTCCAAGCTTCAGTTTACCTGTAGGTGGAATTGATATGATCGTCACTACTCTACTGCCCAGGGAAGGGGAGTGTGTTACTTGCAACCCACCTTTCCACAGAGGGTGAGGGGCATGTAAGTTACCTAACAGAGAAAAAAGTGGGGATTCCTCCCCACCCCTCTACAATTCACAGAATCGAAGAATCTGAGAATCACTGGCTCCCAGAGTCCACTGAGCATCGCTGAGTAAGGAAAGGGAGAAAAGTCTCATCTCATCATGTCTTGGGGCCTGAGAGCTCTGACCGATGGCCAACCTGCAAGAAAGGTCCCGATCAGGACCCCCATATTAATGCGTCCATCCTCACAAAGAGGCCCCTTGGGACCCTAACCCTCTCGTAGTCAGGGACACTATGGCCTGATACTTCCGAGGCCCTCAGCATTTGCGATTTTCTACTTTGAAAAATCCGTTTCCAAGGTTTTAGGATTTCAAATATCTGCCATCATCCCTGTAGCTGACATTTATCTTGAATTCTCCATGTGCCAGTTACAGTGCTGAACACTTCTCCCAAGTGGTCACATTCAATCCTCACCACAGTCCGCTGAGGTCCATCTTGTCATCATGGCCGTTATACAAGTGGGGAAAACGGAGGTGCGAAGTAGTCGAGCAACTTGCTCCGGATCACAGAGCTGGTGAGTCGGGGCACTGCCTTCCTTGGTGCCGGGTTTTGAAACCCCCAGATTTCCATGAGCCCAATGTCTCAGGATTTAAATTCTAGGATGCAATGACAGGGAGGTTCTGAGATTTGCAGATTCTTCTGGGGGGCTTGAAGCTTGTGAGATTTTAAGGTTGTCCGAGAATTGGCAGTTGTAATTCCTCACCTCAGCAAGCACTCCCCTCCAACCAATGTTCAACAGGGGAGACCAGCCCCCAGGGGCTTCTCCCGATAGGTCTTGTCTGAGACTCCCAGGCCCGGGCTCCTCAGTGCTCTGCATGGCCTGGGGTTCTGTCATCCAACATCCACTCCAACCTCTCTGCAAGACTGACTTCAGGCCTGGGGAAGAGAAATTGGAAAGAGCTTTTTATTCACATGGTACAAACCTAGTGACCAAGACCCACCTCTTAACCCCTTTACCTCTTTTCCTCCCCCACCTCCCAAGTCCTCAAATAAAGGAGAACCTCTTTCCTCAACTCAGACTCACCTTTCTGGAAAAGCCCAGAGGGGCCTAATGGCTTGGCTTTGTGAAGATTAAAAAAAAAAAAAAAAAAAGGGGAATAAAAAAAAAAAACTTAAAAAAAAACAGCACAAAAAAAAGGTCATAGCTAGACCTAAAAAAAATCAGCCAACAAAAAAAAAAAAAAAAAAGAAACCCAACCCTTCCTACCATTAGTTCAAAACAAACTTTCACTGGTTGAGACTTCTGAGTTGGTGGGACATGTCTGAGGACCAAAGATGGCCTGTGTGCCAGGCATCCAGGGGACACACCAAGGTGGGATGAGGTCCTCAGGTTGAGGCCTGCAGGGACCCTGTGTACAGCAGGGACTTAACAGGTATGTCATGTGGTTGGAAGCAAGAGAGAGGGTGAAGAATGTGTTTGTCAAGAAGAACTGAGGAGATGACTTTAGGGATGTCCTCAAGGTTAATGACCCCTTGCTTTCCGTGGACTTGTGTCTGAACATTTCCTACACCTCCTATGTAACTATTTTCTAGGCCAGTCCTAGAAGCTGAGGCCATGTTCCCTGCCCCAGGATCTGCCCCTCCTGAAGAGTCTGGTTTTCTCTTTTAGGGTTAGATGTATGGGCTGCACCCCACCTTAAACCCTCCCAAACCATCTCTCCTTTACTGTTACTCGTTCCATGAGAGGAGTAGCCAGAGAAATAGGAAGAAAACTGAATGTGAGTGGTGGCCCAGAGTCCCAGGAAGCTACTTGAGCAGGGCCTGGAGTGTGGTAGGGGTGATGCTGCTGCTGCTGCTGCTGAGAGCTAGGACCCTTACAGAGTGAGAGCTGGGAGTCAGGTAGGCAGAGAGGGGCAGAGGTCACCACCTCCTCTCTGTACTGGACTATATCCTCTTGCATGGAAAACTGTCGGGGAGAGTGGGCAAGACTTGAAGGAAGTGAGGGAGAAAGTCATGTAGATATCTAAGTAATTCCAGAGGAAACAGCTAGTGCAAAGCCCTGAGGTGGGAATGTGCCTGATTTGCCCAAGGTCTACTAAGGAGGTTGGTGTGGTTAGAGTGGCATGGTGAGAGGAAGAGGGGCAGGAGGTGAGGTCAGAGAGGGAACTGCGGGAGGGGGCGGCGGTTAAACGATGCAGGAGTTCATAGCCCATAGTGAGGACTTTGGCTTTTACTGAGGAGGCCACAGATTTGTGAGCAGAGACATGAACTGTCTTAGGATTTAACAGCATCTCTCTGACTGCTGAGTGTAGAACTGACTGTAGGAGTGAGGGCAGAAGCAGAGGGACCAGTGAGACAGGCTACTGCAATAGTCCAGGTGATGATGTGCCGGTAGTGGAGTGGGTGAATTTTGAGAATGTTTTGAATGGGTTGCCGACAAGATCTATTGAAGGATGAGAGTCTTGGGGCTAGACTAGGATAAAGACAATGCCCTACTGGGTGGGCAGGAAGGAGTCCCTGAACTACTTACCAGCTTGAACTTTTAGGTGACAAAAAAATAAAGTTCTATTTTGTTTAACCTTCCATTATTTCATGATTTTTCTGTTACTTGCAGCTGAACATATTCCTTCCTTACCCATGACCCCTGCAAATCGAGACATGTGAGTGGGTGGGGTGCTGCTGGGGGGACCACTTCCCTCCTAGGGATGCTGTCAGTCAAAACCTTGCATACAGGGTGAAATGTCTGAATGGATATGTTCAGTAGACAAAAGCTGTAATTCAGTTCCTACAAGAGCTGAGACCTCAAAAGGAGAATGAAAGGAGCTAACTAGATGAAGGAAGCAGAAGCAGTGCTCTTGGGAGAGGGAACAGTAGGAACAGAGATGGGAACAGATAGAAAGGAGATGAGGCCACTGTGGGGTGTGGAGGGCTGAGTTAGGAAAGAAAGACAAGGCTTAGATTTGTGATTATGTTAGTCAGTGTCTGCTAACCTGCTCAATCAACTCTTGGGGCCATATTCAGGCTCAGTGTTTTGTTGAGCTGGTTAGAAAAAGCTAATCTTACAAAAAAGTTCAATTTCTCATTTGGCCATTCATTCGACAATAGTGCCAAGTCCTGGAGAATGCTTAGGATGACAATCAGGGGCATTCTTGGCTAGTGGCACTACTCAAGCAAAGCCTTGGGGATAGGCGGAGGAAACCCAGCAACTGCGACAGGAGAGTCCGTTTTGCTTTCTTAGATCTCACGCTAAGTACTAAATCTTTCAAGGGCTCTAGGATTCACAGCTGGGGGGCAACAGGGGGTCACGGAGGGTTACAGAGAAGGTAAATCCATCCACCAGAGACATTCTATGGTTCTGCAGCTTGACCACCCTACAGCCCAGCCTGCCTACGCACCGTTCTCTCCTCTGGCTTCCTTATTGGCTCTTCATTCCCTCCTTCAAACCACCTATAACACTCCCGTTGCCTCTTCTCTTTCACTTCCCGCCTCCGTGTCCCTCTGTATTGCCCTTTGAAGGCTCCTTGCTCCCGCTTTCACTGCCCACCTCCATTGGCTCTGCCCCTCCATTCCTGCCTCCGAGTTCGCTCACACATCGTCTCCAGAGCTCCTTCTAGCCTCCATATTGGCTCGTTCCGCCCTTGGCACCGCCCTTTGAAGGCGTGCACAGTCACAAGACTCCCCATTGGTTCGCTGCCGCCATTATCGTCACCTCCTCTACGCCACCAGCGCGCGGCTCCCCATTGGCTGTTCGCGATCTCAGCTTGTATTCCCACTACCTACCTACGCAACCCAGGGATCTCCTACTTTTCGGGCCTCTCCGTTAGCTGCCTGCTGCCCCCATCGCCTATAGCCATTCCATTTTCCCTCCGCCCAGATGCCAATCCTGCTCACACATCCCCATTAGCGGTACTACTTCTGCTCTCTCCATCCCAGACACCATGCCACGCCCATTCAGGCCTCCCCATTGATTCACCAATCATCCCGCCTCCTACACCAAGCACTCTCGAGCATCCCTATTGGTTGAATGCTTCTCCGGCTCTCGAGTCACCCCTTATGTCATCCATGCGCTGCTCCCCATTGGCTGTCTGCTACACCTGTCTTCATCTCTCCGCCTACGCCCCCTGTGAGCCGAACCCCCCCCTTGCGGGCCTTCCCATTGGCTGCCCGC